GCGGTCACTAGGGAGCAGCGCGCGTGGATAACGTCATGAGGCGGCGCCCCTAGCAACGGTGGTTCTTAGGGAGCGGCCGACGTGGCAGCATGGACGCGACCACCGGCCCGCACCGCATCCCCCCGGAAATGCCCCAGTACGGGGAGAGGCACCACGTCTTCGAGATGATGCAGGTGACCCTGGGGGGGCCACGTCTGTTACGAGGTTTCCCCACTTGCGGAATCTGACTCCTGTGCCGTCGTGACCCCGGGGGATACCGCGGTCTGAAGACACCCCACCCCGCGGACCCAGCGGGCAGAAAAGGGGCGAGCCACCCTGACCAGGGTTGGCTCCTGGCTCTGCCAGCCGGCTGCGTGGCCTGGAGCAGTCCCCGTCCTAGTCCCCCATCTGTCAACGGCGGGTTAGCAGGGGTGAGCTCCAGAGGGCCCGCCCTGCGGTGGTGTTTCCGAGTTGGGGCTTCCGAGCTCACAGTGGCATGCCCGCGCCCACGCCCGCGCCCACGCCCATGCCCCGAGATGGCCGCCTCCTGGGACAGCAGCGCTTCCCACCTGCCCTTCCTCCTCAGGACCAGGAGTTCCTGGCTGCGCCCAAGCTCCTCCTGGGCGCCCACCTTGACTGGGCCCCCTCCCCGTGTGACCTTAGCCCCCTTCGTGAGCTGCAGGTGACCCTTCTGCACCTGCTGGAGGTCCAGCCACACCGACTCTGAGGGCCAAGGGGCCGCTGAGCCCGCTCCAGAGCCTTTGTCTGCTCCATTGGGTCTGCCTACCCCCAGGGGCACCTTGGTGACGCCTGTGGTCATTTGAACCTCGACCTGCACACAGGAGAGCAGAGCTCAGGCTATGCACCCGTCTCCATCTCTCCAGCGACCTGTGCTTCCTTCGGAAAGTTAACTGATAGAGGGGGGGGAGAGGGAGAGGGAGAGAGAGAGAGAGGCCAGGCTGTCCAGGACTGTGGAGGTAGCTGGCAGGTGAATGCTCCGTCCCACCTGGAGGGCCTTTGGTAGCAGCGATGGCCGTGTCCCCCAGCACACGTGTGCTTGGGCACTGGCTGTGACTGTGCCTGGCGCTGGGACAGCGTGAGGCCCTGACGGGACACAGGGCTGCAGCAGTGAATGGTCAGGAAGGCACATTGGCTGAGCCAAGGGCGAGGTCCCTCCGCAGCGGCACCCACTCAGCCCCTCCCTCGTGTCTGCTCACGTGGACCCAAGCAGCCGCCATCAGGGCAGGGCCTGGGTCCCAGGGGGAAGGCGTATTGGTGGGTGCAGTGGCGAGACCAGGCCTCCTGGCCTTTATCCACGGTGACCAGGGTGCTGGGCCACCTGAGCTGGGGGCTGGAGCGCCCCTGCAGGGGTTAACTACCTGGGTGTCTGCCCTGCACCCACAGAGCTTGCTGGAGCAGCTTCTGATCCACCAGCCCACGGATCCCCTCCAGTTCATGATCGAGCACTTGCATCGAAACAACGACTGCGGTGAGCACGCGGGGCCCCTCCCTGCGCCTCCCCACCCCCAGCAGCTGGGGGCCGCTCTGTCCTCCGAACAGGAGGCGGGGGGCCTTGGACCACTGGGGCTGGTGGTGAATTGAAAAATTCCCTCATTTCTTCGGGAGCACAACTAGCAATTCTCTCGTGGGGTCATTAAAGGAAACGCCTTGTCGTGGCCCACGGAACCCGTGATTCATGCTCTCTTGCGCCCCAGCCAATGGCCCCCGTGGGGTGTAAGCTCTGTGATTGCTTGTCAGGTGTAAGTGTGGTGTCTGGTCTACCTAGACAGGCAGCACTCACGGTCACTATTTTCCTCACGGTCTCCCGATGGGCGCCCCTTAGTGAGTTCCAGAGCTCCCCACGCTGTGGCCCGTGTGCAGGTCGGCTGGACCCACGGCCAGAGCTCGGACTGGGGCGTAGGGAGGAGAGGCTCCGCCCGCGGGTCCATCTGCCAGGAGCGGGAGGACCAGTCTGTCCCGTGTGGCTGTCAGGGGAAGCGGCTCTATGTCCCTTTCACTGGAGCAACCTGCTTTGCAGGAGCTGGCCCAGTGGCATAGCGCTTGGGGCAGCCTCAGGGGGAGGCCCGAGTTGCCTGTGGAGGGGCTCAGGCTCAGATGAGAAAGGACTCTGAGTAGCTTAAAAAAGGGTGGGGGGAAGAGAACCCTAGACAGGTTGGCTCAGTGGATGGCGCGTCGGCCTGTGGTCTGAAGGGTTCGATTCCGGTCAGGGCACATGCCCGGGGTGTGGGCTCGATCCCCAGTGTGGGGCGTGCAGGAGGCAGCTGATCAATGATTCTAATCATTGATGTTTCAGTCAGTGCTGTGTTCCCCCACCCCGCCCTGCCTCTCTCTCTCCCTCTCCTTTCCTCTCTGAAATCAATAAAAAAAATATTTTTAAAAAATGGAAGAGAAAGGAGACGCCAGGCCCGTGAGCCGGGCACACCCGTCCCCACCGTGAGCTCTGCCCGCAGGTGCCAGGCGTGGCTGTGGAGCTCCGAGTGAGGACCCTCGCAGACCTCGGCCGGCGGTTCCGGTTCCGAGAGCCCAGCGGCCTTTTCTGAGCCTCCCGCTGGGCAGGACTGAGCACTGACGTTGACTGTGAGCTCGGTGCCAGGAGCACCCCTTCAGCTGCCCACTGTGCCTCCCTGCCTTCCTGCCGAGAGGGCCATGGCCATGATCTCCGTTCACACAGTGGGAGGTCCCCCTGGGCCAGTGAGTCAGGTTGTCCCGCCTCCTTCCAGCCAGGCAGCCGCCTGTGATCCCTGGAAGCGCTCACCCTCTGCTTCCCCGGTGGCTGGTGCGGAGGGAGAAGGTTCTGGACTCGCCTACTGAGTGAGCACGCAGCGGGCAGCCCCCTCACCGCGGGACCAGCAGCTCCGGGACAAAGGGGGCATTTAGAGTCGCCCTGGGCGACACAGATGCCCGAGATGGGAAGTGTGAGCTGCGCTGTGGAGCGTGTGCTGCGTTGCTTAGCAGGTGTTTGCGGGGAAAGCCGCGGAGGAGCCCACCCCCGAGGGCTTTCTGGTGAATTTAAATGGTCTCCTCATTAGGCCTCCTCGTTAAGCCTGGATGGGCGCAGAGGACAGGGCCTTTGATTCCGTTTTAAGTGGTTGGAAGCAGTTGGTTGCCCGTGGCAGCCCGCAGCCTGGGTGTAGCTGTTGATAAATAATTACTCACCAGCAGGGCGTTAGGTTTAAGCAGCTGAAGTTAAGCAGGTAAATGTGCGCGAGAACCTGGGCGGGGGAGGCCGTGGCTGTTCCCTTCTAGGCATTTCCACGGATGAGAAAGGACTCTGGGTGTCACTTACGGGGCCTGTTGGGGTTCCCCAGCAGTCCCTGAGCCCTGTTGCTTTGTCGAGATGAACGTGCGACTTAGGAGTCTCCCCACCCCCCAAATGCTCCTGTCGGGCTGCGTCCCTCTTCTCCGCGGGTTCCGCAGGCCCCGAGCCTGCTGATCTGGCCCAGGGTCCGAGGACCTTGTGGGGAGGCCTGTGGCCAGAGCTCTGGTTAAGCGGCAGCCAGGAGAGGGGTGCACAGGCCAGACCACGCCCCGCCTGCACCTCCTCTGGCTCTGGCAAGCGGGCCCTCTCCCACGGTCCCACGGCTCCCATGCACAAGGCCCTCCCCCTTGGCCACCCTCCCCCACACCTGTTGTGGCACCCCAGCTCCACTCTCCCTCGGCAGTTCACCTGACCCTCTGTCCCCACAGCCACCTCATTTCCGGGGCGGGGGGGCGGTGCTCTGAGGTCACTGGTCAGGTGAGCTGAGATGGGGTGCAGCCTGGGAGGTGCGCTCCCTGGTGGCCCTGCAGGGCCTGGTTCCTGGGTGACAGTGGGGGCACGTCCGGGGCAGCCCCACAGCCCATGTCCCGGCCACGGCTGCAGTGTCTGGTGCCTGGGCAGTCAGTGCTGTGTCCCCCCACCCCGCCCTGCCCCACGCTGCATTGCTCCTGGGGGCGGGGGGTGGCCCTGCCTGGCTCCTCCTGTGCAGGATTCTGCCAACCTCGCGGCCCTCGGACTCAGGGCGTCCGCTTTCTGCCGCTCGCACTGGGAATGCTGAGGGCAGAGGGCACCATTGGCAGGAGGCAGCCATGGTGGTGACAACGGTGGCGCCTCAGGACAGCCGAGGGGGAGGTTCGGGCTGTGCAGGGGGGCTGAGACCTCGGGGAGCCTGCCGTTGGGGGGACAGCGACACCGCTGGCTGCTTAGCTGTGGTGCAGACGTTGGGTTGGGGGAGGACGACAGTCCTGCTGGCGAGATGACGGGGGAGGAAGTAGGAATGAGGCTGCCTGGCCCCTGGACCCCAGGGCGGCCAGGCCGTCCCACTGAGCCGGACACACCAGCCTCCGGTGGAGGTCACGCCCTCCGGGCCCTGGAGGACTGAAGGTCACAGCCCTTTGGCCAGAAGAAAGCTGGGAGCAAA